TCTAATAAATTTGTTAGTCTCTAAGGTGCCACAAGTCCTCCTGTTCTTCTTTTTGTAATCTAAGTGTATCTAGTGCAAAATGAGTTGCCCCCCTCCAAGTTTATAATATCAAATTCCTCTTAAAAAATCATACTGAGTTTATTCCTGAATCCCTAATAGATTCTGCATGACTACCAATGAGGGGGGAGGGATAGCTCAGTGGTTTGAGCATTGGCCTGCTAAACCCAGGGTTGTGAGTTCAATCCTTGAGGGGAGCACTTAGGGATCTGGGGCAAAAATTAGTACTTGAAGGCAGGGGGCTGGACTTGATGATTTTTCAGGGTCCCTTCCAGTTCTATGAGATATAAATATATGGAGATATACCTATCTCCTCTGTACCTCTGTTCCCATCGCGATCTGTAAAAGGGGATACTACATGGCAATACAGGGTTTGTAAAGCAGTTTAATATCCTTGTTTGCAAAATACTAAAAAGGCAGAGTATTAATTGACAGAAAGGAGCAGTTGTTTTTGAGTCCCAGTGCTCTTCCTCATCTAGTATATATATAATTGGAGTCATAGGCGCCAACTCCATGGGTGCTCCGGGGCTGGGGCACCCACTCGGAAAAATTTGTGGGTGCTCTGCACCCACCGGCAGCTCCCCGCCCCAGCTCATCTCCGCCTTCTCCCCTGAATGCACCACTGCATCCTGCTTCTCCCCCTCCCTCCCAGTGCTTGCACCACGAAACAGTTGTTTCACACGGCAAGCGCTGGGAGGGAGGAGGAGGAACGTGGCACGCTTGGGGAAGAGGCGGGGCCGGGCCGGGGATTTATGGAGGGTTCTAATAGGGGCAGGGAGGGGGCGGAGTCGCGCAGGGCCAGGGGCGGCACGAGCACCCACCAGCGCCAAGGAAAGTTGGCGCCTGTGATTGGAGTGGTAGTTTAGGAATGTATCCCTGAGAGCCCATATCTTCCTTTTGGGAAAAAGGTGGGTCAGGGAAAACATCAGAATCCTTGCCAAATAACTATTTCAATATCCATTAAACTAAGATGGGATCCTTAAACTTTCACTTTGAGAGTGCTAGGGGGACTTATTCCAGTTCAAGGCAGGGCAGGCAGAACCATAGCTTCACCTCCACTCTGTACTGGCCTGTATCCAGGAGTGGCTTGGCTCTGCATTGCCCTTAAGTAACAATAAGAAAAACTTGGGTGGAGCTTAGAATGGGGGCAAACTGTAGGAGATGTCTCTGTTCTCATAAATGGAGGTGTAATTGTGAAAAGTTTCCAGGTGATGAGAAACTTTGTGAACTGAATGGCAAAGAGAAATCACTTCTATTTAACATAGAAGAAGAAAATATGGTTGAAATTTTTTCTTTTTTACGTTTAGTTAAAAACATCCTACATTAGAAGGTCTACCATGCCTGAAACGCCATCTGATTTCTCAATATAAAAGAGTAGTGATGACAGAATGCTTAGCAGGTGCAGAAATTATTTCCAAAACATCTTGAAATGAAGATTTACCTGATAACCAACACTTAATTCCTTGAAATGGAAGTTTTAGCAACGTTGATGTGATCTGTCGAAGTTTATCTGGAGTTACTGTCTCAACATTTCCATAATCCACAAATTGCACTTTAATAGCTCCATCTGAAGAGACTTCTTTTACCAAAGCACGGTACCAATTACCATCACCTAGGATTTAAAAGAATTGTGATTTCCCACATTTACCTAAATCATAAGCAGAACTAATTTACTTTCCTTGGCAGAGAAAACTGGCCTTAATTTCTGTTGCTTTGCACAGTATGTAATCGGTTACATGAATTCAAAGTAGGTATAAAACACTGCCATTCTGTTATGATAGCATTTTATATTCATTCTGCACTGTTTTGAGTGACTACACAAGGTACAGGGCAATGGGCTATCAAGCTGTTTCCACAATATCAATACAGTTTTCATCCAGAAATGAAAGTACACAAAAAAAGTGATGCAAGTAATCTATTAACATCCCATACAAACTAGTGGAAAATCCAATATTTACTTCCTGGAAAAGCAGTAACTTTCTCTAAGGTAATTATTAAACTTCTCTCTCTATACTGTTTACTTCTATTCAATCAGACTGTATATTAAGAATAACCAATATTTGATATATTTAAGTGTATATCAGATCTGAAAGGTTCCTAACTGTTCACTCACTGGAGTCACTATTCACATATACTTGGTTTACCACTGCAAACTGCAGATCTATTTTCTTTCCTTGTTCAACTTAGCAACACACCAAACACATCAAGACCATGTCCAAAATATCTGACAAGATTTAGAAAGCTATATATTAAACAGAACATTCGCGGAGTGAAAGATAAAGATGCATTTTCCATTTAAGGACATTTTTGTAAATGAAAAAATGAACACGAGTAGGTGGTAATATTACTTACCAGAGAAAAAAGCACAGCAAGGTTCTCCCTCTGAAGGCTTGAAAACACTAGAAGAAGTCTGCTGGCAGTATTCTGCCAATGACTTGTTGAGTACATTTAGAGCAAGTAAGTCTAAGAAGAACGTAAAAAACAAAAAACAACCAAACTTAATACATCTTTAGAAGCGGCAGGTAAATGGTTTGGATTTACCAGGCAAAAATAAGACCGTGTCCTGCAGAAGGACAATCTTATTTATTGGGTCCCATTAAGAGCATATTTAGAAAGATATTTAAATATCTCAAGGTGCCCCTGATTTAGGGTAAAACAGTACACCTCTACCCTGATATAACGCGACTCTATATAACACGAATTCGGATAGAACACGGTAAAGCAGTGCTCCGGGGGAGCGGGCCGGGCCGCGCACTCCGGCGGATCAAAGCAAGTTCAAAAAAGACGGTTACTCACCGTTGTAACTGTTGTTCTTCGAGATGTGTTGCTCATATCCATTCCAATCAGGTG